ATGATGTCATTCTTTATATTGCCTTCCTATTCATTGTTTTTAAGCTCCAAAATAAACACAGATCATGTTGTCCGGGGTATTTAAATCTTTAGACACGATGACCAGCATAACAGAAACACTGGTTAAAGAATTAGATGAATCATTTGTGTGTGAGCTCACCTCTGCTACTGTGCTCCTGATGTGATCGATCAGATTTTCAAAATCCACCAGGCTGAACAGAGGCTGCTGTTTGAGTCTGTGCAGCCCGGCAGCAAACAAGTCCTCCTGGTGCTTCAGTATGGAGCCTGAAATACACAAAACAATATTGAGTTGTATTGTCTTTGTGATATACTGTAAAGACAAAAAAGTGACTTTGCTAAAGTACAAGATGTCACTTGGATCACAGCAAAATACACTACCGGCTCTCGAGGGGCTGTGGCTGTGGTTGTGGTTTTCAAACATCTGGACGGACTCTCCAACGAAGAGGATCTTCTCAGCCACTCTGATGGGGATGTAGGACGGCAGCATCTCTGTCCGCAGGGAGAACTGCTGCAGGGACGGAGCCAGCATGTTCTCCTCCTCGATCAGCCTCTGCCCCCCCCCCACACAGAAGCACAGAGTCAGGAGTCTGTTTGAAACACATACTGATGATAGGTGTGATCTTGTGTGTCTGGTTGTAGTTCTCACCAGGTCCTGTAGTTCTCGCAGCTGTTTCCCACTCAGGCCCCCCAGCCCCAGGTCCTCCTCCTCCTCCTCCTGGTTGGCAGCAGCCCCCCCTGCACTGGGCCCCTGCTTCACAAAGAACTCCTCGCTCTGGTCCAGCAGCAAACCGTGCAGCATCCACGCTGCCAGCTGCTTGTACATCACCCCGTGGCACACAGCAAGAATCCTGCCCCATGTAAAAACTCATGTTTTAGGTTTCAGAAAAGCAGAAATAAAATCATGACACACTTTACTTTTGAAATCTTGACACCCCACTATTTAAGCTTCTTCCAGTTATCACCTTGGTTATATGTCTCTGCCAACCCACCACGCACTAAATCATCATCTAAAATAATTATCCATTTCAACAGGGTTATTTAGTGTCTTTATATCACTTACACTCATCACCAGGGCTCAACCAGGCATCAGCTTTTGGTTTCCAAAACTGAAAATACGGTTGCCATTTTTAGTCACCTTATATTTTAAATAATTAAGATACTATACAGCTATACATCACCTTAATAATGAAAATGTGACACAAAAGAATGTTCAAATGCTTTACAATAAGTAATTAACACAATTATTTGAAACTAAAGTGGTAGTAAACTTGTCCACCCTCAATTGCTGGTATACTAAATACCAGTAGTGCAGCTGTTGTCATGTTCTTCACAGATCCCTCACAAATGAATTGAGCAAGTCACTAGTTTCTTGGTCATCCGTTGTCTCCCTTTCAAATGTGGGTTTCCTTGACCTTTGTGCGGACCCCCACCATAGAGCCGTGGGCCCTTCAGCATTGAAGTCTTGATTGGCCAGACTATTACATTTCTAATGTTAAATAAATGAAAACCATTGACAGTTAAGAATTAGATATTAATTATTAATGACCTTTAATATGTCTAACTATATTTAAAATGTGTTACCTTTTTATAAAAGTGATTATATTTGTATGCCAATATTTTCCTATGGTAAAGTTTCGTTTAGCACTTTTATTTTGGTAGTAATAAGATCGGGACTCTTATTTTGAAGGAACTTTTACCGGAGCAGAATGTACATATATATTTCGCCTCCCAAGACTTTACACATTTCCTCTTTGCTTTCGTTCGGGTTCATCTTGCGCTTTATCAGTTGAATCACTTTGAACATTCGTTTAAGATGTTGACGGGTTGGCTGAACTTTTTACCGCACAGTTAAACAACTTATTTGCTTCGCCATTTTTTGTAAAACAATAACACGGCGCACCGCCCACGCGAATAAACGTGCATCGCTTTCTGGCTCCGTAATGCACGTGCAACTTAAGTATCAGGTTCCGACTGGTCACAACAATAATTAAATATCACTCTTAATACAACAAATATTTAACATTTATCTATTTTTGGGTGCACATTTAGCTGTTTGCTGTCCTTATTTCTTTATGTTAAAAACTGGCCAAGAAGTGGTTGACATTTTTTCTGAATGGTTGCCAATGGCAACCTGGCAACCGTTACTGTCGAGCCCTGATCACTAATACAAGTATTTCTTTATATGCTACTAAAAGAAGCCATAAAATATCATTCGAATAGTAATAGTACAGTATTTCCTTAAAATGTAAATAAATTAAATAAAAATGTAAATAAATTAAATATTTAAAGTATGCCATTTTAAAGTTATAGTACGTCATATGACTTGTAATTAAAAAGGTCCTAGTATTACAAAGTAGTAAGAATTGAATGATAGCATGTCTTGAAAACCTAATTTAAAAGTCATAGTATAGTATGCAATAGAAATTGAGAAAACGGATTTAACAGTAATAGTATAAAAAGGAACATGAGGTATATAAATGACCCTTCCCCTAGCTTTCAAACATGAATGAAAGTGTGTCTTAAGGTAGTCTGACTTACTTTTCTAGGGCCATGCGTACAGGAGGGAGCCCCCCACAGCTGTGCTTGTACACCGTCTCCAGGATCTGACAGCCGTGGATCTAAAGTGACGCACCAAAGTCAAAGAGAACAGAGCATAGCTGTATATGTTAATATAGATAAGTCAAGTGTTCTTTTCATTTGAGAAACTCCCCTTAGTGCCGTCCCAGTTTAAACATCATGTTTCTATCAGTCTCTTTGTTCATTTAGTCTAAAGAAAATGTACAGAGACATGAGCTGCACCGTAAAACAATAGTAGTTTTTCAAATTGTTCAGCAAGTTTGGCCAATTTCTGAAATGTTGGGCAAAATAAGATGTGATCAAATCAGTGCTAGTGTGCATCAAGACCACTGGTCTGTAGTTCAACCAGGGCTGTGTTGGTAACACACAAACCCAACATCTTTGTTAAGTTAATATTCTTTATTCTTTGCGGTTATGGTGAAGTGGAGGCCTGTCCTAACCTTTTTCAGTTGAGCAATTTGGCCCCTTTTCATCATGGGCATGCACTTTACGCTGCCCTGAGTTCACATTTCCTGATAAAATGCTTTTATAAAACAACACTTACCTTCTGTGATTTTATAGTCTCCACCACCACCATCACAGAGGGAAACAACAACTGGAACTTTAAGAAAGTAGAGTGTTAGACAAACATATGTTGAATGTGGAATTTAGTATATTTGTAATGAAAAAAAAAGACCGTTTTAAAGTGTATTTATGCTTTACCTGATCGAGCTTGTAATTCACATGAGATATTGTCAGATGTGGATCTCCAAGGAACTGAAACACATACACAGGTCGAATGAGCATCACGTCACATGCTCCAACATGTGTTCTTGTTGCTGTGTGTCATCATTTTACCTCCTGCTCGAGGTCCAGCAGGGCCTGTCTGTACGGCTGCAGGATGGAGTCCAGCCCCGTACAGAAAGCCCGCAAGTAAATGCCATGAAGTCCCGTCTGGTTGGGCTGGTTCGTGTGATGTTCCTAAAGAAAGAAATGTTGAGAAAAACCCATTAGATTTTTAAAACATTTTAAAAGAGAAAGACAGGTTAGATAGGGAGGGCTTAGGGACTCTTTCACAAACTGAACGTTTAGCTTTAGCAAGCTAACTATCTTAAATGTTGTACCTGTTGATGCACATGGCCGGTATGTAGTTCTATGAACTCTGTGAAGCGTATGTAATCTGAGCCCAGTTTAGAGAGCCGGTTGAGGACACTGGTCTCACTGGGGTGAAGGAAGGGCAGGTCCTGGGACACCTGTGGGTGGAACAAAGGGGTTCATGTCCAAAAATAAACATTGTGAGCCTCTAATACAGTTACAGTGATGCACAATGCCGAACACCTTTTCTCTACATATAGACCTGTTTAACCCTGAAGCATGCCATTTTTACAGTGCTGCATAAACGAGGCTTGCATGCTTGAACCTGGTTCTGAATAGATATATCCACATTCCTTTTCTTTATAAGAAAGATTAGCTCGTTGTGCTATCTATCTATCTATCCATCTATACAGTGTGGCATGACAGTGCAGAGGTTAGCACTGTTATCTCACTGTCTGTGTAAAGTTGGCATGTTCTCTCAGTTTTGCTTCCCTCCCTCAGTCCGTAAAATAAAGGTTAGATTAACTTTGCTATACATATATATATACACACACATATATATATATATATACGTAGGGTACGACAGGATAAGATACAACTGTATTCAACACAGGATACATGTTCAGCAATTGCAGTAAGAAGTAATATACAGTGAACATATATAGAATTCCAAATAAACTGGTCAGTGGTACTGTGTAAATCCACAACAGAGCAGATAAGTAGGCTATACTTGTGCTTTCAGCAAAGTAGATGTACAGCTAGCTAGCATGTAAATGGTATATCAGAAGCGCTGTTTTGATAAAGAGCTGCATGTTTCCGTGTTTTAGTTTTACCTGCAAACCCGTTCGTTTGTTCCATGTGAAAATGGTCCCCGGGTACCCACTCAACGCCAGCAACAGCTCGTGAATCATGTTAATTCACCTTTAATTGATAAACGTAGAACATGCAGCAGTGAGCATCTCATCCAAAACAAACCGCCGCCCGAGCTGTCTGTCGCAGGTTGGCTACGTTACGACGCAAAGCATCATGGGACACGGGCTGGTTGCTAGCCAACAGAGGTAACTACAGTACGTACTTTCTCTTTCGCTCACCTTTTAATTTAATTTCAAAATCTATCAAAAGTTATCTATTAATAGTTGTTATCGTACTATGAGACGTTAACCATGTTAGCAATTGTAACAAACGTTAGCACCTGTAGCTAGCACTGCGCTTCTGGGTAATGAAGTTCCTCTAGCTAAAGAAATTCAGCGTGGTAGTCAATCTTGCGTCATCAGTCGGTCATGTAGGAAGCTAGCAGCACATCACAACGGAGAGAGCTTGGTATGTCGTAGTTACAGGTTAAATTAGTACTTCATACAGGGTGTAGAGAAGATATGGATAGCACGTCATTTGAATATTGTTAAGGTTGATACAATGTTGTAATTATCAACGTGGCTTCTGTAAGAGCTATTTTTACTTGGCTAATACAGCCTTTTGGCTTTGTTGCTAAAGTCGGTTTGTCAGTCGCACTCTGTAAAACATCAACTGGTTAGCTTAATGTGGCTAATAACGTTGCCTGGCAAGTTAGCAACTAAACACAAGCTGTATGCGTTCTAAAAACTATTAGGTACATCAATATAACAAGTCTTCTAAAAACGGGTTTAACTTGTTAGCCTCTCACGCTAGCAGTACTGACTTAGATGCCATACAAATAATTGAACAAGTGTTTGTTATTGCAGGGATGGCGGGGGAGAAGAGCGAAGAGGACACCGTTTCAGAGTACCTGGGCCAGAACCCCGAGCTGGCCCAATGGGTCGACACTTTCAGGAGCTACTCCGAGAGCAACAAACAGTGGGTAGCTCGTAGAGAGTTCTTACTTAGAAACATGGAGGCTTTCCCCACATTGGAACACGGAGTCCCCAGCAGCAGTCTGGACAGGCTGCTCTCTCTGTCCATGGTCTGGGCCAACAACGTTTTCCTGGGCTGCTGGTAAGAAGAGAGCAGAGCTATCATTTCTGGAAATCAAAGAAAGAGGCACACAGATGATGATTTGTTCTTTTTATTCCTCAGCTATCCGCAGGCAGTAATGGACAAGATCAAGGAGATGGGTGATGGGATAGTTGTCCAAGATGCCCCAGTTCATAAAACGACAAAAGATGGAATCCAGGGCAGAGGAAAGCGGAGTGCCACAACTGGTAATGCAATACACACTTTTAGTAAAGCAGACTACTGTTTACTTAGCAGTTACAGTGAATGATGAGGCTGAAATCCTTTTATTTAACCAGGAATAACTCGGGTGGTAACAGATTTTGACACATTATTTTGACAGTTTAGCTCGTTAGGAATACAAAGTGAGAGTTAAATAGCTTCATCTTAATGTATTTCTGATATTTGTATACATGGGTAGTCAAAAATAGTAGTAGCAGTTCCTATGGGCTCAGAACAGTCTCATAATACACACATGCACACAGAAGGATTCACACTTGTATTTCCGGATCCACACTTGTGTTTTTCAATGCACACACAAATGTGTTCCGTTTCATTTACATGTAAATAAAATCCAAATACAGAAAAAAGTTTTACATATGTATTTTTGATCCACACATATTTGTTTTCCGTTTAAAACCTCTGAACCTGCAAACACAAACCGCTTTCTGTGCACGGATCGCTGTGCATTCGTGCGTGGGTTTTTTGAGACTCCCCTGACGGTCACCCGATTTGTACTTGTAATTTTTTCTATCTATAGCCAATCAGATGTCTCCTTCATTCTAAGCCAATCACATGAGCGCGTCCCCACGAGGGTATGATTTATTGCGTTCATGACACTTCATATACGCATTTTGCGCAGTCCGGAGCAGGGTTTCCGCAGACAGAATTTATTTTACCGGACAAATTTTAAACTTACCGGTCATGTTTCAAGAAGAAGAAGAAGAAGAATTGTGTCGCAGAGTTTCCGTTAGCAGGTAATTAACGGACTATGACCGGATATGGCTAATAACACGGGAGTAACGGATCCTCTCTTTTCCTCTCTCCCTCTCTCCTGACAGCCCGTCAGTTTCTCATGCAGCTAGTTAAAACTTCATTCGCGTTTATGTCCATATCAATCAGATCCAGCTCTCCTGATCGGCCTTTATAGAGACCACCGATCAAACTATTAAGAGTGAATATCGGCCGATAATCACCGGCGGGGCTCCCCCGTTGACAGGTCACTGTCTTGCACTGGCTTCGTAGTGCACTGATCGATTAGGCTAAGCTAACCTGTAGCTGCTCCCTCCACACTCACAACAACTTCATACAGACATAAATAAAGCAGCTATATTCGCCATATATAGACATTTTTGAGATGCACCATCTCGTTTTCAAGGGGGTCCCGACAATAGCAACAACTTACAGACATACATAAACAAAAAGCAAAACATGACACACAAGACAAACCACATACGTGTTAAGTAAAATTCAAGCAATGCACACAATCATTACAATTTGAGACAGTCGAGCAAATCAGTTTCATCAATATCAGTTAATAACAAGTACAGACCAGTTGAAAGTTAGATAATAATGCATGTTTAAATAAACCCAATGATGCAAGAGATCTAATAGCAGCAGGTAAAGTATTCCAGTCAGTTGGGGCTTTGAAAATGAACGCTCTTCTGCCAATCAATTTTTTTGCAGAGGGGACAGAGAAATAAATCTGAACAGAATGTCTAACTTGATGATTTGGTGAGTAAGGTACAAAATACTGCTTTAAATAAGGGGGATAGTTAAGATAAATGCATTTAAATATCAGCTGAAGCCAATGCGTGTGTCTTCTTACATTTAAAGAAGACCATTTAAGTTGGTTATACATTGTGCAGTGATGTGTACGAAAAGGACAACCAAGAACAAATCTGCATAGTCTGTTGTAGGCTATGTTGAGTGGAGCAAGATCTGATTTATGTGCATTTTGGTAGACAACATCACAATAGTCCATAATCGGAAGAATAAGTTGAGAAGCAATTCTCTTTCGGACACTGAGCGTAAAACAATTGCGAGAGCGGTGTAAAACACCGATTCCGTAATTGACTTTTTGTATTACATGCTTTATATGTAGTTTAAATGAAAGTTCAGAGTCTAGCCATACACCAAGATATTTAAAGCTATCAACTTTATGCAGAGAAGTGCCATCCTTACATGTTATTACTACATTAGGTTTGGATTTGAGCTTCTGCCTGGTACCAAAGACCATGGTATAAGATTTTGTTTTGTTAAGCAGTAGTTTATTGTGTGATAGCCAGTCCTGTAAGATATTAAAATACGATTGAAGAGAGATCTGAATTTGTGAAAAATCTGATTTGGATGTATATATGACAGTGTCATCAGCATAAAGGTGAGTACAACAATTAATGAGACAAGAAGATAAATCATTTATGTAAATAGAGAACAGAAGTGGGCCCAGAGTTGATCCTTGGGGTACACCATTTTGTTGGATCAACAGGTCAGACTTTTTTCCATTAACAACCACACATTGCTTTCTACTGTGAAGGTACGAGTTAAACCATAACACTGTATTATTAGAAAGGCCAATGCCGTGAAGTTTATCCAATAGCAGATATCGATCAACAAAATCAAAGGCTTTTGTCAAGTCAATAAAAATGGCACCTGTGAGTTCACCATCATCTGCAGCAGAGTACAAGTCATTCATAAATTTAAGTAGGGCAGTTGTTGTGGAGTGATTAGGCCTGAAACCAGATTGAACCGGAGATAAAATATTATAAGTATTGCTATAATGTGACGGTTGATTATAAATTATTTTCTCCAAAACTTTGGAAATAGAGCAGATTATAGCCATACAGGAAATACATATTTAAAACGGTTTTGCCTTCCGTTTTTGTGTACACAAGCATTCATCAATGGTTCGGAAAGTGGCGCTGTACCTTAATAATATAAAGGCTTGTATTTGCGTGCATTTCCTGTTTGGAAAGTGGCAATGTACTGAGAGTGGAGGTGTCCTGAGATTAGCGCCTGCAGGCAGGCTCCATGGACCTGTCAGCTCCGGACTGCGCAAAATGCGTACATGAAGCGCTACGTCATGAACGCAAGAAATCTACCCTCGTGGGGGCGCGCTCATGTGATTGGCTTAGAATTGAGGAGACATCTGATTGGCTATAGATAGAAAAAATTACAAGTACGAATCGGGTGACCGTCAGGGGAGTCTCAAAAAACCCACACACGAATGCACAGCGATCCGTGCACAGAGAGCGGGTTGTGTTTGCAGGTGCAGGGGATTTAAATGGAAAACTAATATGTGTGGATCAAAAATACATATGTAAAACTTTTTTCTGTATTTGGATTTTATTTACATGTATATGAAACGGAACACATTTGTGTGTGCATTGAAAAACACAAGTGTGGATCCGGAAATACAAGTGTGAATCCTTCTGTGTGCATGTGTGTATTATAAGACTGTTCTGAGCCCATAGTTCTCGTCACAATGGAATCTAGCACCACCACAAGGAGTCTCAGCAACGATCAAAAAGGATCAACAAACACCAATTTAAAGCATAAATCCACAACATTTTGACATTGGTGTTTTTTTATTTAAAATATTCTTACAATTGTATAGTTTACGCCTCATGATATATTTAGTTTGATGGATGCATGTACAAAAAATGCATACAATAAATGACAACATCTAATACAAAGTAATAACGTCGATACATTTTGTCGTAGTTGAACATCACTTTGTTGAATTTCTGTTATTTTTATATTTTGTTGCCATTCATGCATTAGTTAAGAGGATTTATTAAAATCCCGTTACCTTGAATAGTCTTTTTAATTGAGGTGTCTACTTGGAAGTTATGGATAAGTTAGATAGTGGGAAGAAATGTGTGCATCCCCAAAAAGTTTCTCTGTCTTTTTATGGACCAACATAGTGTTGATTTCTGTTTCAGTGTAATAACCTACATGCAGGTTTGTTTGTTTCACACCTGAGAAACCTAAGACAGGATAGTTTTTCCTCATTAAATTTGCTTTCTTTGTGCACTCATCAATGTCCTGCCTGTTGTGTCCACCTTTGCAGAGGGTGAATCTGACAGCGGTGGGAAGAGAGCGAAATCCTCGAGGAAATCAGGCCCTCTTCCACAGGCTCCAGCAGAGCACCAGCCCTTCTTCAACCGCCTCTACAAGGCAGTGGCGTGGAAGCTGGTGTCCGCGGGGGGCTTCGGTCCAAACTTGGACCATTTTGAAATACTTCGTAGCTGTGTGGAGTCATGTAAAGAGACCATGGCCTGTGTGTACGTGCCACTGAAGGACATCACTGGCCTCCCTGCAGGGCGCACACAGAAGGAAGGCCATGTGTGTGAGATTCGCTGTCAGACTGTTTACATGGGGACAGGATATGGGCGCGACGAGGCCGCCGCCAAGGCCATGGCTTCCAAAGAGGCCCTAAAAGTCTTTCAGGGGCGCAAGGTGACAGTAAAGATCTGCAGACGGAGGTACAATGGGAAAGATGTGGAGGATTTGGTGTTGTTGGACGAGCAGCCTCGGAGTCCGGGCTTTCCCCCCGCACTCAGCTACCCCTTTCAGGACGAGCAGCTGGAAGAAGGGTCTTCATAGAGCGGAGAATTTGTGAAGTTTGTCGGAAGCATGGGACGTCTACTGAATGGAGCTGCTGAAGGAATCCACGACCGTTTGACTTGGGAAGCATTGAATGACATTCATTTTCCCAATGCATCCACAATACTTTGTCAGACAAAAACCGGGTTACATCACCAAAACACTGTCATACTGTATTGACAACATTTGCAACCGCTGTCAGTTTTATAGACAGTGAACAGTGTAAGAAAGGGCGCGCAATGGAGCATACATGCCATCATTTAAAAGTCAAACAGCCATATTGGCAAAAAGCAGGAGTCAAACTGTTATAGAGTTATAACAAACAAAGGATGCTCTTTAGAATTGTAGGAGAATGTATTGCGTTATTTTGATGTGATCGTCCCATCATAACTTTTCTGGCCTTATTGTTCGAAGTTGCGTGTATATATCTCTTTGTTCACTCCTGTTGTGATAGGTATTGTTCAGGTGATTTGATCCTGGGAAGGCCTTTCTCTTTTCCTTTTTTGGTTTGTTTAGGGCTCCACTGCTCAAAAGTCAAATCGATAACTTCTCTTTTACACTTTTGATTTACTTTGCCAAAGCAAAAAAGACTAAATTGCAGTCACTGTAACCCTTTTTTTTTTAATATGAAGGACTTGTAATTAGTCTTCATAACAGTTTCAAAAATAAGAATAGCTTAATTATATTATTATTTTTTCATTATTTCTCAACCATAAGTGACTGACATCAACATTCTTTTTTCAATTTCACTCATTAACCATTGCCTTTCACGACGTTTTGATTACATTCTCATTCCTAAAGACCCACACTTGAGTTGTTAAAAGGCAGGAAAGTTTCTCGGTAGAGTTATTTGCTGACACCAAAATGTAATTCAAATGTGTCCTACTTGTGTGTTCATGCTGCGTATGTGCTTTCAACGTTATACATATAGGAATTGAATGAATATTTTTTTATTTTCATTGCAGTATGTTTAATGAGAACTTCCTAATTCAGTACCCATTGTACTGTACATAGACGTATTAGAAGCCACCACTTTAATTTTTATTTCATTCATTTTCTTCACTGATTCAAAATACACTGTGACCCACACAATGTTCAAAGTATGGTGGTGTCATAATCAAGAAAATGAATTGAAACACAGTTTGATGCAGTGTATACAGTTGTGATGGGTTTTGGGGTTAAAGTGCTGCTGTGATGTGTGATTTAATTTGTCTGTTGTTTTTTCCAGTTTGAGTTGAAGGTGAACAGGGTTGCAATGATGCGTGAATACCCACACTGTCTCATGTTGCTGTACCAGTGGTCCTGTTTCTATATATTTTTTAAATAAACATAATTTAACCAAGTAAAGTCACTGTCATAACAGAAGCCTTTTAGAAAGTGAATCAATAATACTGAATGATCTGATTTCACATTAGGACATTCTGACAAGTACACTATATAAACACTAGGGGTCACTTATATACCTTTTAGTGCGTTATATCGTTTTATTTGCATGTAAATGGACTGCAAAGGATAAAATCCCAAAGTTACTTTCCCCGCACACTCCCCCCCCCCCCCCCCCCCCCCCCCCCCCCCCCCCCCCCCACCCCGCCTGAATTTCTTTGAGACTCCTTTGTTTACTTCTGTAACATAGTGACATCACTATGTAACACTCACGTTTTTATTAGCGCCCCAACACATCTAGGTGATCTGCTAAGAGGTTGGACATATTTAAGCAGGTTGACCAATCACAACAGAGCCGGCTAGCTAACCAATCGGAGCAGACTGGGCTCTGGTTTCAGACAGAGGGTGAGAAGAGGTGCTGCAGCACAGGCTGTATGAGACAAATTAAGAGCTTTTTGAACATTAGAGCATGGGGACATGTCCCAGTAGAGGCACAGAATACAAATATGAGCCTGAAAAAGAACCATAATAGGTCCTCTTTACAGAAAAAGAATGATTTGAATATAAGTTGAAATGTGACACATACTACATCAACAGGATGACTCAGTTCCTCATTAGCAAGGGTTTATAAGATGTGCACAGTGTCAATCAAATAATTCTGAACTTTCAGTGATTTGTGTGACATTTGTGTTAGTCCTCGCCCACAGTAAAAACTGAGCTACTGTTTATATCCACTGGAAGCCTGCAGCCTCATCTACACAGTTCACCAGACTCTATTCACATGACTGCACCGGGACTCATTTCACTTCATTAGACAATCTGAACCAAGCACTGATATGATCTGTAACCGGGGCTGATGCTTCAAATAAGCTTCTCCTTCAGCTGTGGTGGCAGGTGGACACATCATGTTTGTTTATTTATACTATATGATAATTCTTTCAGTTGGTGTCGGGTCTCACCATAGAGGCAGCAGTGCTTATGTGTGATTCTGAACTCTAAGTGTGAGTGGGAAAGAGGTTTTTCACATCTTTAAGAAAACAAGAAACTGATTAAGTTTGAACTTTAGTTTTTTTTACAATATTGACCACACTATTAATGTATAATTGTGAAAAAGTAGTTTGCCAAAAACTAAACAACTAAAGGCTTCACGGTTGTGGTGCATTTTAAACATTATTTGTCACCTTGTGTTTCCTGTGGCTGTTTTCTTGATTTGGAGCACATTGAACTCTGTCTGTTAGTTCATGGTAGCCTGCTTTGCAGTAATGAATAATATTTTGTAGCAGCTAAATAGCCAATGAATTCAGTTGCCAACCAAGAAGACCGTACTGAAGTTTTTGGTCCATCAAATGTATTAAAGGATGCAAAACAACAATATACGAGCAAGATCATACAAGGTTGACAACAAGGTATAAAATCACCCTCTGTCTCTCCACACAAGCCCAGCACAACAGGTGCACTAAATACCTTAAAACACTCCCATGTATCAATCGCAGGAATTGACTAATTACAACTGTGTGCAATGTAAACAAATCATAACAATAGAAATAATCAACAACGGCTTAGTAAGCATTTAGACTCCTACAACTTTATTGTACTTACGATTGTTTGTGTTACTTTGAATTGCATGCGTTTTTTTGTGCTTGATGGTACTTTCAATAAAGTTAAGTTGTTGACTTAGGTTCAGGAGCGGCCACGCCGCAACCCCATCTCTTATCACTGCTAAGTATAACTGGTCCAAACATCTGGCCATTGTTGGTCTCCATTCTCTCAACCCACCCTCACTCTCCCTTCTCATACATTACCTTTTCTACCTCTTCCTTAACCAAACACCTTCATCCCTTCAGCCGTCGACCACCCTCATTTAATCATCCCTACATCCCTGGATCCCTGACTCCCTCCCTGATCCCTTCATCCTCACCCACATCCCTTCATCCTCCAATCCCCTTTCCCTAAATCCCTTCATCCCTATATCTCTTCATCCCCTCATCCCTACTTCCTGTCAGCCCTTCATCCCCTCATCCCTACTTCCTGTCAGCCCTTCATCCCCTCATCCCTACTTCCTGTCAGCCCTTCATCCCCTCATCCCTACTTCCTGTCAGCCCTTCATCCCCTCATCCCTGCTTCCTGTCAGGCCTTCATCCCCTCATCCCTACTTCCTGTCAGCCCTTCATCCCCTCATCCCTGCTTCCTGTCAGGCCTTCATCCCCTCATCCCTACTTCCTGTCAGCCCTTCATCCCCTCATCCCTACTTCCTGTCAGCCCTTCATCCCCTCATCCCTACTTCCTGTCAGCCCTTCATCCCCTCATTCCTGCTTCCTGTCAGCCCTTCATCCCGTCATCCCTACTTCCTGTCAGCCCTTCATCCCCTCATCCCTACTTCCCCTCTACATCCCGTCATCCCTCCCTTCCTTTATCCGTTCATCCCTTCCTCTCTACACCCCCTCATCATCTCCACCTGTCTCCGGGTCTATTTGTATACAACTTGAGCAATCTTTTAAAGGTGCAGTAATAATAATAATAATATAAGAGATGTATTTTGTTAGCGCTTTTACAGGTGCTCAAAGTCGCTTTACAAAGATAGTGAAAAGAAAAGAACAACAAATAAATATATTTGAAGTCAAATTAACATCAAGCAATACAAAAACAATCACACGTTAAAAGCCAGATTGAAGAGGTGAGTGTTTTGAAGCTGGTGAGGTCAGTGCAGCCTCTGATGGGTTAGGGGAGTGAGTTCCAGAGGGACTTAATCAGCCTGAGTTGTCAGAGACAGAACCCCCCCCCCCCCCCCCCCCCCCCCCCCCTGAGTCTCCCTCTGCCCGGACCACAGCACGTCCCCCCAGACCAGACCAACAGATGTCATTCGCCATCAACGTTTTAACACCCATTTCTATTCACTGTTACTTCCTTCATTAAATCTACAAATATCACACTGTTGTAGACCACAGCAGTGTGATATTTGTAGATGTAATTAAGGAAGTAACGGTCTTGCTTGTAAAATGGTTCTTGTTCAACGAGCAATGTTAACTGTATTTCTTGGAGACTGAACTCCCTTCTCTTTCATTTAATCTATTATTGCTTTTTTCTTTACTGGAGAATAAAAGTAAAGCAAAAATGATTCACAGTAACAAGGAAAGAAACATATGTCCTCAATAAAAGCTTGCCAACTGGAATTAAAAAAACGAATGTGGCTGTGAAGATAAACTTCTGTTGTTGCAATGTTGAGGTAGAATGAAGGAGTCTGGAACCGTCGTTAGCCAAAGCACTGAGAGTTTTATTGATCACAGTACATTAATTACATACGGCCGGGAGATCATCTTAGTTTCACACTGTCCTGTGCTCCACCAAGATAATTTCTGCACCAAAGCCACAAAACATCGCTGCTACACGAGGAGAGGCCGGCCCACAGAAACCCGCGTATACCTAATTAGCTATTAAATGGGAGACAATAATCTCCTTGTCTCAAAGAGATGCAGCCAGGTCTCAAACCTCCCCCACGGATATAGGAGAAGCGTTTGACCTGTGACCTCAACTTATAGAGGAGTCTTTGAGTGACTACAAGCAGATGTTTGCAGTATCACAGATTCTAAGAAACAATAAGAAGCTCTATAAACAAATCAGATTAAAATATTCTCTTACAGTGGCAGTTATATGGTATGAATGTTGTGCACCGACAGAAATGCTAGAGGTTCATTTTTATGTTTTCTCACTCAACATTTATCTCTCATTCCAGGCATCCTGATTGTTTTCACCTGTGCTCATCAGCGTCAGTCTCGCTCCTGATTGTTCACACCTGTTTCTCATTGTCATGTGGATACATTTCCCTGTCTCCCAGTGTTCCTCGTCAGTTCGTATTGTCTCTTGCTATGGTCAGGTCTATGCTCCTTGTGCTCTTGAAAAAGTTTCATTCCTCTCTACGTGAGTGCTTTCAGTTTTTGTTCTCTATTTTTGTCCTCTCGGCTAGAGATTTGATAGTTACCTTTTTTGTTGTTCAATGCTGTATTTGGAAAATAAAGTATCTTATAAATACTTTACCTCTGTCTCCCGGGTCGTGTAATTGGGTCCTACATCCTAAGTGTCTGAGTTCGTAACAATGAATCTTAACCAATGGACCACAACCTGTCTTTTTTTGTAAAAGATGGTCATGAGCAGTGACAATAAGAGTCGTATATGTCACATTACACGACTGTTTGTATTGAGACAACAACATGTGCAAAATAAAATAAGATACAGCTCTATGTTCTCATATTATGATTTACACGTAATAAATCAACTTCTCTGTCTGGTGCCGATGTTATTGAGCCGTTTACACCCAGCACTGTCACTCTCAGGCAGCAATCTATTTCAGACTGTTTCATTTGTCACCCGCTCTGTATCTCCATCCATCACTCTCTATCAACCTCCGCCTCTTTCTCTGTGTTTCCATCACCTTCTCTATCTGTAATTCTTTACTTCTCTGTTAAATTATCCAACACAAAGAAACATTTCTCCCAATGGCCGATTGCTGCCGGTTGTAACTGTCTCACTTATACACATGCAATCTCTACCGCAATCGGAGGTAATTCCCCCAAGGAATCAATAACAGATCCTTTGCTGTCTGGAGGAAGTATTGCTCTTCAGGATCTAAGAGTATAGTCTTTTTGTCAGCCCAACCACTATAAATGTTTTTCGGTGCCCAGTGGTTTCAAAAGGGTTTCAAAAGACCAAGTGGTGAAGGTTTCTCAAACTATGTTTGAATTAACAATGACTATTTATCAAAACGAAAATAGTTAGGAAAGCATTCTTTAATCTCATGCTGCGGATGACATTACAAAGGACTAACGTGGTAATGAAATATTTATCAGGATAACCGATTTTCAAGGGAATAAAGGGGCAAACAATGTGTGTTTAGTTTGATCAACGGCATAAACAGGAAACTACAGTTTGTTGACTTCCCAAATGGTTAAGCAAACCAAGTAAGAAAGGACTAAGTCAACAGTTTGTACCTATCTCGTGTGCATTATTGATGACTTCTGACAGGTAGAAGAGAGAAAGGTACGAGATAAACACACTCGCGATATACAATGATTCTGTGAGAAAAAAAGAGAGGGCTTTGGAATATAAGTCAACTAAAACATCAATGAGGACTTCAAAAATATGCTATTAGAGGGAACCTAATGGAATAGCATATTTCCTAATGGAAACATTCAGTGACAATATCAGTTACAGTATAGGATTAACTCTATTGATCAACTCTATTCCAGTTTTATCTTGTTGTCACTTGCAAAGGGCCTATAGTGTCAGTGCGCTACGAATGATTACATTCTAAGACGGTAGAAGCTCAGTATATGAAATGAAATCGCTCTATTGAAATGAGAATCAGCCAAATTAGTTTTATTAGATTCATCTTGTGACTCATCAAGATCATATATGGTGCATGATGAAGGTTATAACTGACCTTCGAACACCTCAGACATGTTTAAAGACATTTCAAATCATTCAAAAAGATTGACTAAATATCTATAAATGGGTTCTGCACAAAAAGAAAACCTTATTTACCATTATTTGGTTATTTATTATTATCATAGCAGAGATATGACACATGAGGGTACATTCCAGTTGCATAAAGGATCATGATTGGCTTACAAGTTTTGATATCACGTCATTTATTCGTGTATGTCTTCAACTCAGATTTAAGGGTCAGGCACTTCAGATTGATGTTAGCATCATTCTGCAGTGAAGGTCAAACATCCCAGTACAAACAAGTACAAAAGGCATAACACATTTTTGTGTGAAGAAGAGGGACTTTAAGTCAAAGCTGCAAATCAAAATCGATATGTTGACATTAAAGCTTAAATAAGAGGTTACAAATATTTTCCATGAATAAAATAAAGATCTTTTCTTGAGTTTTAGGTCAGTCTAATCTGAATGAATGTTCTGCAGGTTAATCTTCTTTCATGCGTGTGATGTGGTAAACAGCCTGGGGCAGCTCCTGGGGCTCAGATTGAGCTGTGACAGTCACTCTCTGCTTCATAACTACTTCCTCTGCAGCACAATTGGGATTTAATCATGAGCCCGCCCTGGTTATTGAAAATGAAGGAGCCTGGCAGCACCCCGTTGGGTGTGACGTCACAGCTCATTGTCAGATCCACGTCATTCTTCAAATATTGACTGAGGTCTTTAAAAAAAAGGAGGAAAGTCAAATCATGTGCGTTATAAAAGTGTTTAATGTGTTTACATAACAACATATGCCATCACTCCACTGCTTTACAAAACAATAATGATGTTTATTATCATGATTTCATACACAAAACATTCATCTGAAATCAAATAGTTCAAGTTCAAAACACAGATTTTTGGATTTGCCCAGACGAAGAATCATTATAATATTCCCATAATATTGCTGTTGAGACTGAACAGTGTGTACGTGGTCCTCGATACTTAATTAGGTGCATTGTGGGTTCTTTATAAGCTCCTACGTCACAACAATGATCCTGTGGTTTTCCTACTGACATTAGGTGATTCTGAATATTAATAAGCTTTATGGGTTTTTATGGTCATCTCCTCGCCAATATCCTAGTTTTTACTTCACTTTAAAATATATATGCTGCCCATTATTGAACTATTATACTTATTTTTCTTACGGGTTGGGCAGTGACCCCACCTCCTCAGCTGTTCCATAAAAAAATATGACAGTATTTACAAAGGAATCGAGTGAAGCTTTTCTCTTTGCAATGCTACATTCAGATCCAGCGATGCTCATAAGCACTTTAGCAGGAAAAAGTTGCAGAAAGCTCCCCGGGGACAGTCGCACATCTTGCCGATCCGAGCGCCTTTACGCACGGCGCACTGCTCCCCGATATCACACTGAGAGAGAAACAACAACAGCAGAGGTTTAATTAGTTTCTCATTCCCTGCCTCGACACAATATCGATCAATCAAATGTGTTTGAGTATTTATTATACCGTTGGGACTTGGCCAAATTTCTTTTCCCATGAAGGCAGTCGTTTAGCCTGCAGCTTTTCCAGAACTTCATGGAGAGCTCCAAGCTGTCCGCAGAGAAGAAAAAAAAGAAAAGAAAAGTTCCTGAATTTACATGTTTTATTAACGTAAACGGGTATAAACATAGAATAGCATCATAGTCAATTAACGAAATAGCAAAACGATTATCATACACAAATACAATAAATAATGTTGTAATGTTATATAACAACATGTAATACAGTAACATATTTGTGTTTAAAATGAAACAATTGAATGTGATAAAATGTCAACATATCAGCTCTCGATAGGCTATAAGTTAGATGACACGAGAAGATCTTAAATGCATGCATTTTTCTATTTAGTTTGGTTTATTTAAAGAGACCAATAGTCATATTCAACACAACTAAAATGCAAACCTGTTTTGTTTTATCCAAGTTGCATGGTCTTTCTGCATGCACTGCGATAAAAATGGAACTTACCAGCTGCTTCTCACTGGTCAGGTTCGGACCTTTGGGGTAGAAGTCCCGCAGAGCTCTGGGGCTCAGCTCCTCTTCGGACTCGGTGTCCAACACTTCGGCTCCTCTGGTGCTGGAGAGCAGCAGCAGTGCGCAGAGCAGCGCCTCGCTCAGCAGGCTGGAGGTGGTCTGCATGGTCCCGATGTGAGGCAGCATGTGGCCCTTTGCGCGTCTCAAATAGTCGCTCCCCCGCGCAAAACACCTTTTTATCTGAATGCTGTCATCTGCTCGCTCCACCTTATCCTTTCAGTTTTTTTTGTGTCATGCGTAACAGCTGCCTCGGGTGAGTCATCCCGTAAAAGTTGCTGGGCAAAATGTGCCTCAAAAAGTCAACAAAAACAACATCAGCGCTGCAATGGATCGTTACTGATAAAGTAATGGATTACTCGTTATATTGGCCGATGATCATTTCATGGAGTTGGATAAACATTAGGACAATTAGCTGATAATATGTTGGTGTCTACCATGACATTGTATTTATTATAAGATTATATTTTTTAGTCATAATACTTTTTTTTATTGAAAATGTGTATTGGGTTAGAATCAATTCTACTTTAAGTCAAAGTAAAGATGTGCTTCAGTCACACAGCAGGCCTGAGCACATGTTTTATATTCTATGGTAATCAGCACTAAGTTCATTTAATACTTTTCTATTTTATTTCAGAATGCCATCTGCAGCCTCTGCTGCATAGAAACTTGGTGACTCAGTCAGTGCTTTCTGCTGTAAAGGAGCAAAAGATCCAAACAGTGCAGGCATTCAACGCCCTTGTTATTCTTTGTTCAGTAGAAATCAAAGCACCCCCCCCCCCCCCCCCACCCATATGAAAGTCAGGTTTTTCACTGTTACATTTGTTTTGACTTCTAGAATTCACTTTTTGTCTGATGTGCATGGGATTGAGGGCCAGATGGAGAAACTGAGTTTTTGAATACCAGCTTTAATGAGCTTTTATAGAAATAGAAATGAATTCAGCAGGTTATGTCATTAGTACCAAACACAGAGATACATAAGGCTCTTTATACTGTATGCTACATGAATATATTGTAAATATCCACCACCTACACCATGCATCTAAAGCAGCCTGTTACATTAATTATACAATGTGTATTCTGTTTCCTATTTGCACTCTGTATCCTTTACAGTTCTGTCTGACTCATTGTGTGTTTTTGTTCTTTATGGCATTGTTTGGACATGTACCCAATCCATGCATGACAAAATGTCAGATCATGTTTATGCACAAAAATAACAAAACAACAAGACCCAAAGGGAGACCGTGTTGCTTATGCCTATACCAAGAAAGGTCATTTTAAAGTTAACCACTCTTTTAGTGCTTTTTTAAATATTCCAGCTACTAAAACTCACATCCCATGTCTAACAATTGGTATCTGGTAAGACACAGCTTTACACCACACAATCATCTCAACCATTTTCAACATGTCTTACTAGAGGTCCATACTACTTTCTCAATCAAGGAAGAAAACGAATCCAAACTTTGGAGGAGCTCCCATTTGTTACAAGCTGGGTTCTGGTTGGAACAAAAGGAGAGGGAGGTTAGACAAAAGCATCCAAAAGGTCATTTATTTACTGAAAAACTTGACAAAAAAAGCAAACTGGGCTGGTGTGTTCCAGGCATGTGGCATGGCAACCAAGAGAGAGTGATCTGCAGCCCTTTTAAATAGACTGGAGCCAGGTGCCACAGGTGGGCCTTTCAACTGACTCCACCCTCAGGCTCTCTGCAAGACTAACTCAGATCATTAAAAATAAACACCAAATAGTACATTCGACCACCACAGGGTCCTCACATATACAGTATATGTTTACTTTTGTTTAGCTCTGTTTTCCTTGTTTGAAGTAGCTGTACATTACAGATTAACTAGAAACAATAGTCAAATTGATTGTACTCCAGCTGCAACCATTGTTGATTGAAATACAAATATGTGCCAACTCTTTGGATAACCGATTAATCACTCATGTCATTTTTATGCAAAAATTGCCAAAATTCTGCCTTCAGCATTTCAAATCTCTTGTTTTTCACTGTGTTCTTTCATATCAAAGTTATAACAAAAGACAAAACATGAGATTCAAATTCATCACTTTGAATGTTGAAGTACTGAACCGAAAGCAGAGACAATTCGAAATGAGAACACAAACAACAATGAACAGTAAAAATAACTCTCAGTTTGATGACGGTAGTATGTTCCACTAAATGCATTTTACTTAGTGTTTGACTCACTAATCATTGTGCATACCCAGCACTGCAGCCGCAACGTGATCTCGTTTTTACCTCTTATACAGCAACTGTAACAATGAGTTCTCACACAATATGGCCGGCAAATGACAGCTGCTGTAGCAGGTATTGTATTGTTAATCCTGTGCTTAAGTTATCCCGGTTCACTGCACTGATCGCTTGTTACAGAGCCGCTCAGTTTCGGGTCCATCAGCAGACGGAGATGGAGGAGCAGGAAGCTTTGATTGTGCTCAAGGCAGCATGACTCATGGTTCTCTCGCCCCACAGAGAAACCAATTTAAAATGTTATTCATAACAACAGGGCCATTTCATTCACAACCACATTTTCATTAGTTTTTTAATATCATATCCCTGAGAGTTCTACAAGAGACACTCAGATTTGTATCTCTGGTGGTTTCGGTTTAACGTTCGTTGATGTGTGATCCTTAAAGTCACCCTCAGATACCGTCAAGCAATTGTTTTACAGAACAAATTATATTTTGAGGTATTCATCTTAACACTCAAATATAATTCTATTTGTAAAACAGAAACTTCAGAATTACAAATGGGTGGAACAACAGGAAGTCCAGAACTAGGTTTTAAATCTGTTTCCAGTTTTATAGGTCTTGTATTATGCTATTTTTAGGCATATATTATGGGTCTCAGATATATAAAAAAATATAAAAAACATGTCTATGATGTGTTTTGCTCAAAATACCAAAGAGATCATGAATTTTAGACATCCCTCATATCCCTCTATTCCAGCCCCGTTAGAGAATGGCTGATCTGGGTCCTAGCTTGAAAATAAAAAAAGAGGAGGGGGAGCTAATGCCTGCTCAGAATTCTACCGGAGATACATATCATGTTCCAAAACACATCAAGGATTATTTCTGGAACAGTACGGAGCTCAAATGCTTTTTCTCTTGCAGGTTTACTACAAGGTGAGTTCATTTTTTTTACACATGCTCTCTCCACAGGTTAGCTCTGAGTGTTAGCGATGCTTGCTAATGTAAACAAAGACCATTGTCCACCATTGTCCATGTCGGCATTGTTTCTGATAGCAACTTTCTGATAGTGCCGTGGGTCCACATTTCCGATATTACGTCATATCGGACGTAATATTTGTGAAACTTTGTGAGTTCCCGAACACACCAGGGACACATATTTATGTATAAAATACATCAAAAGGTGCATTTTGCATGATAGGTCCCCTTTAAAGCTGTGATCCAATTTTTTGTTGGCCACCTGGGGGCAGCACAACTTGCTGTAACACCAAATGAACACAGCTAAGTGTGGCTAGCTGCCATGCATAGACATCTGCTGTGGTTGCTTCAACCCAAGCCCCCAAGAAGAGGACCGGGCATTGAGCAAATGTTCATTGACCAAACACTATTACTTAAACTTCCGTGTCAATCTGTCATAGGGCCCGAAAAGTATTTTCCATTGATTTACATTTCCAAAGAAACTTCTGTAAATCAGCGTAGATTTATTTTTGGGCGAACCATTTACCCAGTACAAACACTTGAATAGCCATTATTTAAATCATTAGGGTCTAACATTTTTAAAAGGCGCCAAAAGCCAAATAAAGAGTTATTTTCCCTCTTGATCCGGGTACTTTTGTTCACCAGAGTACGACCATTTTAGATTAATGCGCCACTGATCAACTTTCATAGGAATGAAGGGGGCCTCCAGCTCTGCATCAAGTTTTCTTTAAAAATTCATGCTCCAGACTAAGTCAGCTGTGACTGTTACTGATTCTGCGGCTCAGTGTAGTCAAATAAAAAATGGGGAAATGTACATTTTTCAGCAGCTAATCAGTAAACGCCTATAGAGTAACAGCAGCTGATCGTTAAACTGATTTAGGTGACATCTTGCCCAATGTAAGAAATCATTTCTTCCTGCTTGAAACACACGACCATGCCTGCCGACAGCCAAACAAATAATAATTGAACCAGGCGCACTTCGCCTCTATCTGGTGTGAATTTATCCAAACATTGATGTATTATCTTTTTATAAAGTGTGTGTGATAGCACAACAGTTCACTCTCCAGCAGAAACAGGAATATTGGCATTCATTTTGATTTGAGTTCCTGGCCTCCTGATGAATGTAAGACCAATATTCTCTCTCTTTTTAGCTCTGCTTCTACACCTTCTCCGGCTAAATATATGTCTCTTTAGCAAATACTCTACTTTTATCTTAAGCTAGTCTCTAACTTTTTCTGTCTTGTTTTTAACAGGTTTATCAGAGTTGTTGATGAAGACGAGGTTAATGAGAGCCATGGGCGTGAACCAAACTGAAAATCTACTGGCTCTAAAACCAAAACAACGAGCTGAAAGACGATAAAAGCTAACTGCAGAATCAAGAAAACATTTTCTGTTGGTTCATTACTGTGTGTTACTCTTTTTCACATAATTAGTTGTGTCTTTTTTATTAGAAAGCTCTCTTTTTTGCTACTAGATTACAATGATGTTGCTTTTGCCCTGTGAGGCCATGGATTGAAGACATTTTCTTGCGAAAGATAAACATTGTAGCTTGCTCTGCAACTCTTAATTGTACAGTGAGTTCATTGATCAATGTGTTTATTCCATTTACAAATCAGTGAGGATAATTATCAGAAACATCCCCAGTTACTCACTTCTGTATTTCACATAATTGGAATCTGCTGTCTAACTGTCTGAATATCCTGAGGGGAAACTAGTCATTCACATTTGTATTAACATTCAGAGAGACACAGAGGAACAAGAGTAATTTTTTCAATTCTGCAGATATTACAATTTCCTAACAAAAACTGACTAAAAGTTATAATGATATTCTCATTTGCACCTACAGGCATTTTTAAAGTTTCCATTTAATGGATGAAAAAAGGATCCGCATCTGAGACACTTAATGTGCTGGACCCAGCAGGGGATATATTGGCAAAAAAAGTTCAATTTTGTATTTTCCAAACCCATGC